ACTGGACTTCCCCGCAACTTCGGTCGAACGTGGGGCAATCCTTGCAGCTGACAGGCCTGTGGACGCAGGATCAGGTGTTGGGTCTAGGAGTCTCCACCTTTGGTCGTCTTGGTCTTCAGGAACACTCGATCCTGGTGATGGAATGGAGGATCGGTTCCAATTCGATCCCATTGCTTTGGACGTGGACGGTGGACCGTCCTTGTTTTCGGTGCGGAAGGGTAGGGACGGTAGGGAGAGATGTAGAGAAGATGGGAGAAGAGCGACCACACTGAAAGGCTCCATCCCTATCAGCCCCTCAGAATCCACGTACGTTGTAATTTGGTTGTGGTATTTAGCTTGATATCGAGGGTGGTGCAAGATTTGTCTGCTTGAGTTCTCCCCACTGAGTAATACTCAGTACTCCGTGGGCAAAAGCAACAGACTGACAGACCACGCAAGCGGAGGATACACCATCCCTCGATCCTCAAGGCTGACCGGCCCGTCCACGTGTGACGGGTCGCTCGCTTCGGTGTCCACCCAGGCATGCCGGTGCCGGAAAATGCCTGGTGGACCCTTTTTTTTCGTGGAATTCTGCCGGACAAGCCAACCTAAGCCAACCAGGATTACTTCTGAGGTTCCCAATTGGTGCTTTGGCAGAAACACCAAAGGAACCCGAGAGGGCGACGGCAGCGCTTTGGGTTCCATCTCGGTCAAACCACACCCCTGTGTGAGCCCTGAACGAGGCCCCAGACAGCCCCCCGAACCGACTGACCTACCCTAGACCATCTCGTTCCGAATGGAAGCCACTTTGGTCGACTGGTCGAGTTCCACCCAGTCGACGGAGGGAAGCAAGAGGTCGGCCAACGAGGTGGACGTCGATGGGTCGTTCAGGATTGTCTCGGGTCTGCCACTCCCAGTGCTCTCACCACTCCGCCTGAGGATCAATAAGAAGATTACAGAAGAGGTGGCCACCATCCCCTCCAAGCGTCTCCGATGCTTGGACCAACGAATCTGTGTTTGCTTGCCAAAACGATCCAAAACGCCTGGGTGTGAGATCCAGATTTCATGAGTTCGGAGTTGCGTGCAACTGGGTTGGAGACTTTAGTTTGGTGTGTTTGATTCCGTGATCTGGACATTTGTGAAGTCATGGCGGTGGGGTGAAAGTTAATTCTTGAACAAAAGCATCGTCCATCATATTTGACGAGAACAGCGAGTCGCAAAGATAACACATTGGATGCACGTATTAGACCCCTTCCTTTTTGTTTTTCCTTTTTCGGATTGTTTAGCCTATTCCTTACCAAAAGAGCCTCTCTTGATGATTGCTCTTGGGCATTTTTTTCACCACAGAATGCTAAAGACACTTAGAGACATACTATCTGGCCATCATCGTATTTGTGATGCCCCGGGTGGTCTGAAGCATCACTCTCTGGCATCGCCCCGTGCGAATTCAGTCGCTTGTGGGCTCGGATGATCCCAAAACCTTAAGATCCCCAAGAAGCAAGAACTCCAAAACTCTAAATGTTGTTTGCCGTTGTTTGCGCTCAGTGAGGGCATTTTCTGAAACTGTTTATGTCTGCACTAGGCAATAAGTGATGGGTTTTTACCTTGACTGCGCTTGCTTACTTTTTACTTTTTCAAACGCCCTCGACCTCCGAGGGAACAAGATCGCTGGCTTCACGACACACTTGATGAAGCGAATCCAAAAAGGCATCTCGGCGGAACACGACGATCCACGGGGTGAGCATCTACCACGGTGAATGGACCGAGAAAAAAGATGGGAGCAATCCGAGTTCCTCGGATGCCTATTCGACGCGCGGTTGCGGACTGGACCCACTTCCAGAAAAGAGGGGCCTCCCAACCTAATAGCAATGGGGGACCCCAACAAGGGGGCACCATGCACGGCGCGGTGCACGGTGCTCGGCTCGCTGTGCACGTCGTGCGTCCTTTCGCAGGTCCCGTGCGTGGCATCTCGCTGAAACTCCAGGAGGAGGAGCGCGAGAGGAGGATGGAGTTCGTGCCCGAGCGCTCGGAGGTGCCCGAGCTGGTCGCTGGCCCGGGTCGCTGCCGTCGTTCCGAACGTGCGGTGGGCCATGTGCCACGGAGTGGTGCGTTAGCCCCTTTTGGCAGTTAGCCGATGGCATCTGTGCCCACAGGGGGGGAGGGGGGAGAGATGTAGAATCAAGGGGAGTGGGGGCCTGTAGCCGAGGGCATGGACACAGTCCATCACCGTCGGAGCGGTGGTTTTCTTTGCGGTGTTCTGCTGAATCCAGCTATTGGCCGGGTCCAATGGCCACAGCCACTTTTGGAGGTGAAGATCTTCGTTTTTCCGATAGTCTTCGAGTCGGAGTTCGACGCGGTGTCCAGGTGAACACTGACTTCATCCAGGTGGATGCCGACACGCGAGACATGTTGAAGGAGAGCGAACCGTGCTGGTTGTCATTAAAGATATATTAAAGCCCTGTCTTGCAACACCAACTGCAAATCAATTGGTAGAGCCTTCTTGATTCTCCAGGTGTGATGATTTGTGTCCCCCCCAAAAATGGCATTCTCCCTCTGACATGGTTCCTTTGGATCGTTAGGTCTGGCGACCGGGCGACCAGTTGGAAGTGGCATTCAATCGTATCCATATTTGCACCCCCAGATGACCCAGATTCCTCCCGGCTCCCTGATGTCCACGTATATAGTCCATTTAGAATATAGTGAAACTACAGATCCTATACATATAGTCCATATGTTCATCCTGCAAAGAAAAACTACACATCCACAATAAGAAGTGGTAAGTAAACTGACTAACTGACTTCGGGTCTCCAGCCTCGTGTTTGCGGACTCCGGGCTTTGTCAGAACGATCAGTGTGAGACATGGTTCACCTGTGAAGTAGCGTCGGACATAATGGCACTTTTTTGGGGGTCAATGACTCGCATGGGCGTCCACACTGCATCACAGTGTTGGAAGACTTTCTCAAATGAAGGACGCGTTCTTGACAATCTCGTAGGTCTGTTCGGAGGATGTCTCAATGTGTTCGCCACTCACAGCAGGGTGTTGGCGCTTTTCCTACAATCTTCATCTGGTTCTTGACCCTTCTGCTCGTGGCAAAGGAGATGGAGATGGACCGCCTCCCAAACATCGCGACCTCCAATACCACCTTGACCGGCATGTCTGTGAGTGCGCCAGCGCCGTTTGTTTTGTGTTTTCCTGGGGGGGTCCAGGTTTGTACGTACATCAACGGAGATTTCCTCGGGCAACCGGTCCTTGTCATGCGAAAAGAACGATGGGCGAGAACGCAGTGGTAGCTCAGGGTCACCGAGCTGGAGTTCGGTGCCGACCATATCTTTTTATTGCGTGCTTGGACCAAGAGATTTGTGAGTCCTGACGCAGTCTAGACAATAAGAAAAGGAATGAAAAGGACGTAGCTTGGTCGTTTTGGGGAATTTCGACGGCATCATGGGGTGGAAGAGCTCCATTTCGAACCGGAACTCCCCCCCGGCAGGGAAGTGAGCGGTGGTACTCCACGGCCGCGGGTCAGACGAGCGCCACAGGTCGAAAACAGTCGCTGAAGCGTTGGGATCACCGTTGGGGATTCAAAGTTTCTATTTTTTTTAAAAAGAAGCACTAGTAGTGATGCCCTTGTTACTAGTAGCAGGAATTGCTACAGTACTAGTATCTGCTAGTAGTAACGCCCTTTGTTACTAGTAGCGATGCCCTTGGCAATTGAAGAACACATTTGACCAATCCTTTTTGAACTCGTTTGGGCCTTTGAAAACTGAGCTAGAGCTACGAGCTAGAGAAGTGGTCCCACCAGGCTGCGCAGACGGATGCCATTGCTTTTAGGTTGGAGGCCATCGCTTTTTTGTTGGAGGATATCGCTCTTAGGTTGGAGGCCATCGCTCTTAGGTTGAAGGCCATCGCTCTTAGGTTAGAGGCCACCGCTATTAGGTTGGAGGCCATCGCGCTTAGGTTGGAGGCTATCGCTCTTAGGTTGGAGGCCATTGCTCTTAGGTTGGAGGCCATCGCTAGGTTGGAGGCCATCGCTAAGTTGGAGGCCATTGCAACTAGGTTGAAGTCCATCGCTCATAGGTTGGAGGATATCGCTGTTAGGTTGGAGGCCATGATCATCGCTATTAGGTTGGAGGCCATCGCTCTTAGGTTGGAGGCCAATCGCTCTTGGGTTGGAGGCCATCGCTCTTAGGTTGGAGGCCATCGCTAGGTTGGAGGCCATCGCTCTTAGGTTGGAGGCCTTCGCTCTTAGGTTGGAGGCCATCGCTCTTAGGTTGGAGGCCAATCGTTCTTGGGTTGGAGGCCATCGCTCTTAGGTTGGAGGCCGTCGCTCTGAGGTTGGAGGCCATCGCTATTAGGTTGGAGGCCATCGCTAGGTTGGAGGCCATTGCTAAGTTGGAGGCCATCGCCAGGTTGGAGGCTGTGGAGGCCATTGCTACGTTGGAGGCCATCGCTAGGTTGGAGGCCATTTGTAGGTTGGAGGCCATCGCTAGGTTGGAGGCCATCGCTAGGTTGGAGGCTAAGTTGGAGGCCATTGCCAGGTTGGAGGCCATCTCTAGGATGGAGGCCATTGCTGGTTGGAGGCCATTGCTAGGTTGGAGGCCATCGCTAGGTTGGAGGCCATTGCTAGGTTGGAGGCGATTGCTAGGTTGGAGGCCGTTTGCTGGATGATCAGTCCATAGCTTGCAATCAGTTTGCATAGATGGCCGGCTCGACTGAGGAGCACCTGGAAAACGATGGAAAACGCAACGCGACCTAACCAGCCAGCATCTCCGACACGAATGATAGATGATAGACCTTTTGTTCATGTTTGTTCCCTTTTGACACTCCAGCTCATTGCGCGCTTGTTTTGCCATATGCACAAGAAGAGGATGATCCCTCTAGGAGCGACGCCAAAAAAACCTATACTTGTGGCATGTCTCTGACCAATATTGTGTCCGCTGTTGTAGACTATTCGACACCAACACTCCTTGCTTCTGGGATCTCCATCGTGAAACGCCTTGATTCTCCGCTGAACGGGTGTTACGGCTCCAGCACCGACCGTTGAACAGCTGCGAGACGATTCGCCATGGGTCGTGTCCGAACGAAGACTGTGAAGAAGGCTTACAACGAGAAGATCCGGAAAGAGAGGATTCCGCCTGCGCGGTGATTAGGGATAGCTTTGTTTTCCATCCAAAGTTGTGAATGATCACAGTTGACCAATTGTCAGAACACGGTGTTCAAATAGCCAACCAGCTCATCTACTCTTGATGTGCATATTTTCCTGCACCACTTTGGCAACTAGAAGAAGTGATGCTCTATTTCGAGACAATGGGGTACTGTATACATTCATCAAGGCTGAGGACTTTTTGGTAGCGCTGACATTCAAGAGCAGGTTGGTTCTCAGCCGACATGTCGACCTCTGGTCTTGTTGGCCCTCTTTTTCGCACTTTCACCGGTTTTTCTTCATGTGCGAAGTGGCCCAAACTCAGATTCAGAATATCATTTCCATCCAAAGAATGAGTGCCACCCTGGGGGGATGGAGGACCCAACCTTTGAGCCAGTAACATTAAACGAAGAGGTGGGAGTGCAGGGGACTGCCGGAACACCATGTAGACACCATGATTCTGTTTGAACAAAAGAGTATTTGGAAGTTTTGTCCACCCTGACACAGTGGATTTCCAGTGGATCTTGAAGCGGGCAGAAGAAATCTGGGCTTCGCCACAAGGCAGCCTCTCTCCCTCTCTCTCTTTCGAGCACTTCCATCCGGGGAAATGATGCCGGCCGCCCAACGACCACCGGTCGACCACACCCGAGCCGGTAGAGGCTTGAACGCCCGCCGGCCCCGCCCTGTTCTCCGTGTCAGGCCGCACGGGTGATTGTGGAGAAGTACTATGGCAAGTTGACCTTGGATTTCCAGCACCGGCCCCAAGAGGAAGCGGTCGTTTCTCCGCCCCGCAAAGCGCTGAACGACCATCACCCCAAATTCATGGTGCCTTCGGGGGTGGCCTTTCGGGTAGGTGCTCAAGTTGACCTAAAAACACTCATTGGCTTGGGTGGTTTTCTTTTGGTGTCCCATCGCATGCGATGCTGGGCGGCTTCGTGGGTTCCGGTCCCAATCGCCGTCCGACCGTCTCCGGCTACGACTCGTACGACTGGCTCCAGAGTGGGAGGAGGGCGGCAGCAGCGAACCGACGAGCAAAGGGACCCTGTTGGCTTCGATGATGGAGGTCGCAGGGTGACCGATGGAGGTCGCTAGCTGTCCGCTGTTCTGTATGGGTTTGCTATTTTTGAGAGTTCCAAGGATTCAAGCAAAGGATGCCAATGCTCCAAGGCACAAAAAACTCGGAGAAGAGTCGACAGCCAGCCAGAGGGTCTACCCTATACGGCACATGGTACAAGTAAGTAAGTACAGTATCGACAGAATATGGAGACCCTGTCGTCCTTCGCCGATTTGAAGCTCCAGAACCCCAAGCTTGACAGTCGAGGAGGTGCGACCAGAGGTTTTTTCATATCGAGGTGCGACTGCCACAAGCTTTTGGAAGATTTCGGAAAGCAGATGGAATTGAACCAATTGGAACTTGGATTGGTTGCTTTGCCTTGGACGTTGTGGGTTCTTCCAGTTTCACTTTCGTTCCATTTACGAAGACGGATGTCTTTGTCGAACGGTGTTCGTGTTCTCGCTAGATGTTCTAGTTAAACATCCTCAACTGCGTCGTGGACCGGCCGCGAGACGAATAGCTGGGGACTTGCTGCCGAATTCCAACTGGTGGGACGCACCAGTGGTGTTTCCATGTGTTCCCAAACAACCATGGGTCATTTGGGAACCGAACGGGAGCACGAGCGCCAGCCGCCGCAGCCGCTTTCTTCCCAATTCCTTGAGAAAAGCGGTTCGCTCTCTTCTCTCTGCAAGTGACTTGCTCGAAGCGACGATCGCAATGGCTGGAGTGGGCGCCACCTTCTGCGCTGAGAACAACGTTGCACCGGTGCCGTGACCCGTGGGTCGGTCCGAACGTTTGGCACGAAAGCCACCAAACGTGACATCGGAAAGTGAAAACACGTTGCAAAAGGACAAAATAAACATGACAATAGTTGACAATAGTTGTATGTTGTTAAGCTAGTCTTTTTTGATTTCATGTGGCTTGGTGTATGACATACACCAAGCCACACGAAATCAAAACAGTCTAGCTTGCATTCAAAGGCATGCAGCATATCTCAAAATTTTGTGTGGTATTCTACGGGAGTTTGACATGGAATCTTAAGCTCGCTTATTTGTTTGTTCATATGTTCTTTTTCTACTGTTGATTCTCTGTATTTTCATAGCCATGCACGATGCTCACAGCAGCTGCACCAAACTTTGTTTGAAGTGCTCTTCGTCAGAAGAAATTCGGTCGCATTCGTAAACCACGGCGATGAATCCTTTTTTTAAAGCGCCACATTCGGTCCCACAGAAAACTTTGCACAAAACAAAAACCACATACAATGAACACATGCAGGAAATCCTCACATTTGATGTACAATATCATATTTACTTCATCCTACTTTTCCACAAAAAAGAGTGAACCTTATACAACGAACGGTTACGCCAATTGAATATGTGGAGGTGGGGCTACGAGCAACTCCCTTAGAGAATGCATCATACATCGAACGTAATGACTGTCCCCACCTCCCCCATACCACCCTGTACATCGCATTCATCGTCTTATGCAAAGCATGAAGAGTAGAACCAAACGCAGCAGGGAGCATCGAACGTTGTACTAAGTCCCACAACAAAATGCGATATAACAACACCCAAGCTACTAGGGGCTCCTGGCATCGCTACTAGGAGCAAGGACGTTACTAGGGGCTCCTGGCCTTACTACTAGGAGCAAGGACGCCCCCCCAAAACAGCAAACGCACGTTGGACCTGGGACCGTTGCGGCTGTCGGAAACCGGCAAGGACCAGTCTCAATACAGCTTTGACTGGCACCAATTTGGTTGGCTGCAAGTAAGTGATGGTGACGGTGGCGAAACCTACTGACAGAAAATGACAACACTGTGACACTCAATCTAAACATATTCCAACTTAGATTTTCAGCTTGCCTTGAAAAACGAACACAGAACTCTAAAGCCACTGCGCTTTAATAGATCGGTATGAACATCAATTTTCTGTGGTGAGTGCACTCCACCAGTTTGTTGGTTTAACCTGTGGTTTGCTTGGCAACCACAAACCCAGTTTCTCTATAATCCCGTCTGCATCTCGTTTTTTCAGTTCTAGATTTGGTTCTGGAGAACCCTTTTGGGGACTGATGATTGGTGTAGGGATTCATGATCCCCCGAAGCACGTGTCGATGTCTGAACGTAATTGTTAAACTCATGGAAATTGGCAGCACAACAGAGACACATACCCCGAGTACCTCAAGTATGTCAGTGGAAAGAATGCTTTGCTCCAACAACCACGGCCCCAGGCACAGGGTCAAAGCTTGACCTTGCCATTGAATTCGAACGTCGATGGAGGCGAGCAACGTTTTCTTTTTTTTCTGTCTTCAAAGGCACGCTCAGGATGCACAATTTCAATTGTTGCACTCATCATGTACTCCGACGAAAGAATGTGTTCGGACCGAGATGTGACGAATGCCTAGGTTTCAATCGCTTTTTCAAAGCAGATGGGGCAAGGTTCAAAGGGTTCATAGCAAACAAAGCAGAGAAACATAATGGAGGTCATCACTCTTAGGTTGGAGGCCATCGCTAGTAGGATGAAGGCCATCGCTAGTAGGATGAAGGCCATCGCTAGTAGGTTGGAGGCCATCGCTAGTAGGTTGAAG